TCTCTGTTTCCCTCCTTTGGACAGTCTCCAATAGTTGTATGTCCTTTTTGTACTGTGGAGCCTAAAACTGCACGCAGTACTTGAGGTGAGTTCATTCCTGTCTCTAAAAGGCTTGTAGTTTTATTTACAAGCAAACTGACTAGTTGAGTTGAATTTGGTTGCTGGAGAAATATTGCTTAGTAAATATTTTCTCAGATTTTACTATATCTTTTACTTAAAAAAAATTAGTAAAAGACATAGTAAAATATGGTATTTCTAAAGCAGTTGCCCTTACATATGACAATCCACTGCAAAAATCAAGTTGTTAAAAGCAAATTGTTGAAGTATGTAGTCTCCTTTCTAACAAGGGCCATTTGGAGTGCAAATAAGTGCAAGAGTAAAGGTGTAAGTCACTCATGCTTCTCTTCAGATCCCTCCTCTCTTCCCTCTGCTTTTTCTAACTTCTAAACATCCATATTGTCGTCTTGGTTCCTTGTCATACTTAGGTCTTTAAAGATAAACACAGAGTATGAGAGAATATTTAAACAAATCGTTGTTTTATTTCCTGGGGAGAATTCTTGTTTTGCTTTGCCTTACACATAATCAGAACCACATCTCTTATTCTAAGTCTAGTGATTATTAGTTAATTGGTAGGTAAATAAAGAAAAAATATGATGATCAGTTAGAATAAAATCATGTGTTTAAAGAAGAAACATGCTACTGAAGTGCCTGGAATGAAGGTTTTGATATAACCCTGTGTAATGATTATTTAAATGTCCTTGGAAGACATCAAGTACAATTTGTGCAGAAATTCTTAAGAAGAATGGTTATATTAATCACTGTCAAGTAATCTCTACCAAAAAACCCAAAACCCTCCATAGGAAGAGATGGCTTACAGTAATTGCAAACAGTGCATTTTTTGATCTTTGGCACATAAGAAGGAAAGAAGTGCTTCTTTTTGAAAAGTGCTCCAATTTTAAACTTTAATGGCAATGACTAAGGTAATACAAACATCAACATTTCGCATCAGCCAATCATCTTTACATGTTTTTAAAAATTAATTAAAAAAAAGCTACCGGTATTGCAATAGTAAAGATAAATCATTAACTCCCTTCTGTTAACTGCAGTTTGTTTGGAAATAGCACTTATTATATCATATGTGTTCTCAAGTAGGATTTACGATTTTCAGTGCCACTTGGAAGCTCTTGGAGATTACAGAGAAAACTTTTTCTGACTGCAAGTCGCAGCTTTTCCCAGATCCCTTATAGGTATTCAGTTTTGTGTTGCTTACATACCATAGAATCACAGAATGGTTTGGGTTGGAAGGCACCTCAAAGACCATCTAGTTCCAACCCCCCTGCCATGGGCAAGGACCCCCTCCACTAGACCAGGTTGCCCAAAGCCCCATCCAACCTGGCCTTGAACACTGCCAGGGAGGGGTTTTGTATCACAATACAGAAGTTGCGATGACCATTTTAGAAATCGTGCAGGTAATAGCACCTTTTGGGATATTAACAGCTAAGTGTCATTTTCTGATTGTGTTTATTGCATTTGGCAGGATCCGATGTACAATGCAGGTATCCATGCATTTCCTCTCTCCTGTTACCAATTTTCGACAAAAGTAAAACACTTGTATTATTTAGTAATGTAGTGGTAAGATGGTAGTGAAGCATGTGAGCTTTATTATGATCTCGTAGAACAACAGAAAGTAGTTGCAGCTTACTCTTAAATTTATAACTGCATGGTGCAAAGCCTAAAGTTCAAACAAACTAAAATAACCCAAATGGACACCACCACTTCCTGAAGGAAGTATTTTTGCGGTCACATTCAGTGACATTGAATGAGCAGGAAAGACAGGGAGGAAAGGACTTCTGAGATACAGGAATCAAGGTGGAGAAGCCTTGCAATAAGAACTGTATGTTTTTCTTAATTAAATTGTGTCTCTGTAAAATCAGATAGTGCTGATTTATGATTCCTCCTCAGTTTCTCTCTTAGAAAAGTATACAGGGGTGGATTTTACTACATCTGAAGCTGAGCAGGGGATTTTTTTAACTTTTTTTTTGTTGTTTTCTTTCATTAGAGAAATACCACATATGTGCTTTTCCTCATAATTCCAGAGTTGGTTACAGAATTCCTTTGCTGTTTAAAAGAAATAGTGAACCTTGCATGCTGTTTCTTGTATTTGAGAGGCTTACAGTCTGTCTTTATGCTGGTAACGAGAACTGGTTAAACAGCTAAAGCTGTGTTGTTCCAGAGAAGCATTAATGGTGAAGCATTCTTTATGGCCTGTTTTCTCATCAGTTTTTGAACGTTATTCTGACTTTGTGAAATAGGGTTGATGTTACAATTTCTCTTTTAACCTACAGTTTCAAAAGAGGGTTTACTCTTCAAATTACTAAACTCCTGCCAATTTTTTTCAGCTTGCTGCTTCTAAATTCAATCTGACTTTACATTTCCATGTTTCTTGCACCTCAATTTCCTCTCCCTTTCCTTCCTCCTTCTCTCCCCTTTCAGGAAATCCAGAATATTGTCAGAAATAGGATAAATACACCTTTTTAGCATTCTGTCAAGATACCGAGCATCTTGAGAAGTTTCTTCCAAAAAATAACGTGGCCAGATGAGAGAAACGGCAAAATCGCAGAACATGACTAGTGTGTCCATTTAAGGATCGAACTTAGGTACTGAATGGCACCTTAGGTGTTGAATGGCACAGGGACGGTGGAGGGGGAGGTTATTGGAAGTTGATGTCCAAGTTAAGTCTCAAAATAAAATAAGCCTGTGCGAATAAGGAGTTTGTAGGCAATTTGAAAATACGCAAAAGCTTTTTCCCTCTTTCACCATTCCAAGTTATCAGCAGCCATGATTTGGAGATGAATCCATCAGTGTTTTGCCTAAAATGAAATGTTTTGTTCTAAAGAAACAGATCACTGATCACTCCAAGCATTGGTTTATTTGGTAAAATTGACGTGGCCGCTGTAAATACTTTTGTTCTGCCCAACTTTGTGAGTAGGATAGGAAAAGACTTTGAAACAAACAAACAAAAAGAAAACACAAAACCTTTTGTTCTGATTAACTTTACTTTTTACTTCAAAGGAACAGGGCAATGTCAAGTTGTGCTTGTGGAACCTGTTTCACACCTAAGCCTTAACCTGTTTTTGATCGCTCCTGGGGAATGTGTAATGTCTTGCTGTCTGCTTTTTTCCTTTGGAAGTTAAGCCCCAAGGCCACAGTTTTTGGCTTAACCGCGTACCACTTTTACTTTGGAACTAGAAATGGGGCAAAGAATATTAGCTTGAGAGAAAGTGAGTTTGGTCAGTCTTACCAGTAATGTAATTAGGATTCATGCTCGTTACTCTCTGTCTTTGCTGCTTCTGTTATTCTAGCTGAGCACGTGTCAGCTACATGCACAATCCTGTCAGCTATTGCTCTGGTGCTCTTAGATAAACTTACCTTGCTTTTATACAAAGGGAAATCCAGGCAAGGAAAGGCTACTGAATTGCCCAAAGTAAAGAAGGAAATGAACAGAGACTTGAGCTGGTGTTTCTCCAAGTGCCGTGCTACTGATCAGCTCATAGATCCATCTTTCTCATGCATCTCCTTGATAATTGCACTGTCACAGAAAATTTAGTTACTTTCCAAAAATAAAGAGGTATTTTTTAATAATAAGTTTGAGTAACTTTTGTACAGTGGGATGGAAAATCTAAGCATTAGACTTTGTGGGAAGGGACAGGTTCTGCTGCGTTCTACACAAACTCTGTCTCGGGAGCGATGTGTCAGAGGTG